TTATTTCCAATTGAAAAATGTGTTAGGTAATACGTTCTGAATTTTTATTGCCTTCCTTATTTGTCTCCAACAATACATAAAGCCTTAACAATATTGCATTGGTAGTTAATAAAAAAACGAGTACTCTATTTTATTATCGTGAACTGATTATATATATTTTTACAATTGCTAAAAACTTAATTTATAATTATTAAATTATATATTTTACGGATTTGTGCTTACAAATGTATATTATTTTATTTGATAACTATTATTATGTACTTAAATATATACTACATGAAATGAGGGAAATACATTATATTTGTTGTGATTCTCTCTTTTGATCTCACAGGTTTGTTTTCTTTCTTTTGACAACTTGTTTTTCTTTAACACTCATTCTCATTTATCTAATTTTTCATACATTTTTCTTACACTCTTACATTCTTCTTCTTCTCTCATACATATAGAGTTGTCGCCAACTACTACTTTCTTTTCCTTACTGTTCTAACACCTTAACTCTAGAACTTAGACTCCCTTACACAAGCCACACTATATTGACATTACACTTAACTACTACGACTACTTAGACTCTAACCACTCTTGCAGTTTCTACTTGACTCTTTTGCAGACTTCTTAACAAGACTCTTTCTTCTGGGCCTGGTGAAACCGAAGCCCCTTTATTCTTCGTAGGCCCACTGTACTAAGTAAGCCCATCTTCTTCTTTAGTTGACTTTGCCTCTTGACTTTTCTTTCTCCTTCTTCGATTTCTTCTTCTCGACATAATACTTCTTCTTCTTCTTTGTTTCTTCTCTTCATTGACACTGAATGATCTTCATCTTCTTTTTTTTTTGCAGGAACAATCAAGGATCAGAACTCAACACTCCCTCTTGAGCCTTGATTGGTTCCCGATTCCAATTTAGGGTTTTGAATTTTGATCCCTTTGATTCTTCTCTGCTTGTTCCTTTATTCGGTTGAGGAGCACTCATCAAGACGTTTGCATAGCTCCTGGGTAAGCATGATTTCTCGATCTCCTTCTTGCTCTGAATTTTTGTTGGTTCAGCTTCCTCTTCTCCTTTATAATTCTCAGCTCCCTCTTGAACCATTTTCTCTTTGAGTTTAATTGATTTCTGCTTCTCCTCTTTCTGCAGGTTCTTAGCTGAGGAGTCTCTGCTCCCTCCATCCTTCTTAGCGCTTCTGGGTTCCTCTCTAACAGGTAATTCTCTTACCTCCCTTCGGCTTTGGCTTTGAATTTCCTGCTTCAATTTAAGACTTGCTTCATTTTTGTCCGATGTCTCTGTGTTCTGACACTTGAACTCTCTGTTATTTTCCTCTTGGGTCCTCTTAATTCTCTCTTGGGTCTCCTCTTTGTTTACTTTGATGCTTCTCTGAGCTCTCTTTGCGTTTCGGCCGATCATCTCGTCAATCAGCTTCTGCTCTTTCTCCTTCAAAGATAAATCTTCTTTTTGTTGATTTGTATCACTTTTGATCACTATCCGGTTCAGTTTGGTTCCTTGAACCACTTCCTTGACATTCTTAACTTCTGATTCTCTCTTGTCTGACTTGATGTTGCTTTGATTCTCAACATTGATCATCAGTTTCTTCTTATGATACTGCACGCTCTTCCATGGTTTAAACTCTTCTGGGTTTCTGACTTCAGCATATCCAGCTCCTTGATAACTAGATTCAGCCTCTTCCTTTGACACTGCATTTGCTATTCCTTCACTCAAGGGCAAATGAAGATGAAAACTCTTCTTTGCTATTTCCAGTTCAGCTATCTTTCTCCCAAATTTATCATGGATGATGCAGCTTCTTTGCTTAAAGGTAACTGCATATCCATTTGCAATCATCTGAGAAACACTTAGAAGATTCTTAGCAATTTTAGGGACTAGAAAAACATTTCCAATGATTCTCTTGCCCTTCTTTGTCATGACTTCAATGTCTCCTCTTCCTTTGGTCATCAGTGTCGTTCCATCACCAACTTGAATTGGAACTTTGAAACTTGTGTCAAGTATCGTGAACAGCTTCTCATTTGGGGTCATGTGGTTTGTGCAACCACTATCAATGAGCCAAATGTTTTCTTCAACAGGTTTTTGATCTTCTTGTCTTGAAGAAAACATATGGTACTCTTCCTCTTCTTCTTTTTCTTCTTGAGTTGCTTGTGCTTGTTCAGACCTCTTGTTTCTGCAGTCTCTTGCAAAATGACCAAGCTTGCCACAGTTATAACAACTTCTTGTGTCTTTGTTTCTGTTCAATTCTGGCCCGTTTCTTCCATTCTTGAAGTAACACACATCTTCATTGTGATTGTCCCTTTTACAGAACCCGCACCATCTTTTTCTTTTGTAGCTCATTTGTCCGGATACTCCATTACTCTTGTCCTCTACATTTGGGTTTCTGAATCTTGCAAGAAAAGCTTCTTCTGCTTCTTCTTCATCATCAGGGAAAATTTTCTTTTCATGTGCTTCTAGGGATCCTACCAGCTCTGCGTAAGTAACTGTGTTGAGATCCTTGGTTTCTTCCATCAGAGAGGATAAGCCTGCATAGCTCTTAGGCATATATGCTAACATTATAACTACCAAATCAAAGTTTGATCTATCTCCACCTAGAGCTCTCATTTGATTTGCTACAGCTTGTATCCTATCAGAATATGCCTTCACTTTTTCTCCTTCTTTCATTTTCAAGTTCTCAAACTCTCTTCTTAATGATTGTAACCTAACCATTTTCACTTTTGCATTACCTTGATAGGAATGTTCCAGGAGATCCCAAGCCTGTTTTGCTGTTGTTGCAGAAAGAATTTTGTCAAAGATGACATCAGCTACGGCATATTGAATGATTTGGAGTGCAGCTGTGTCCTTAGCTTTGAGCATCCGCAGGTTTGCAGCTTCTTTTGACTTATCTCCTCCTGGTGTTTCAAGTGCTTTTGATAGTGGATCTGGAGGTCCTTCCTTGACAACCTCCCATAACTCCTTGTTCATCAGAGTTGTCCGCATCCTTGCTGCCCAGAACTCATAGTTCTGTCCATTAAATACGGCAACCGTTTGAGATGATTGTAGGTTGATCGACATCTTTGATCTTCACTTTCTCTTCTCCCTTTTGATTTCTTCTTTCTTGTGCCTTCTTCAACAGGTTCCGAGAACAACTAGAGCTCTGATACCATGTTGTGATTCTCTCTTTTGATCTCACAGGTTTGTTTTCTTTCTTTTGACAACTTGTTTTTCTTTAACACTCATTCTCATTTATCTAATTTTTCATACATTTTTCTTACACTCTTACATTCTTCTTCTTCTCTCATACATATAGAGTTGTCGCCAACTACTACTTTCTTTTCCTTACTGTTCTAACACCTTAACTCTAGAACTTAGACTCCCTTACACAAGCCACACTATATTGATCATTACACTTAACTACTACGACTACTTAGACTCTAACCACTCTTGCAGTTTCTACTTGCCTCTTTTGCAGACTTCTTAACAAGACTCTTTCTTCTGGGCCTGGTGAAACCGAAGCCCCTTTATTCTTCGTAGGCCCACTGTACTCAGTAAGCCCATCTTCTTCTTTAGTTGACTTTGCCTCTTGACTTTTCTTTCTCCTTCTTCGATTTCTTCTTCTCGACATAATACTTCTTCTTCTTCTTTGTTTCTTCTCTTCATTGACACTGAATGATCTTCATCTTCTTTTTTTTTTGCAGGAACAATCAAGGATCAGAACTTTACTACATGAAATATTCAAGCTAAACACGAATACATTATTAAAAATACGAATATTTAAATTGTTCTTGGAATGTTTTCAAAAGTTAAGAAGTTCCCTCCATGTTTTCATATTTCATTTTAAAATTCTGTATATGCAATATTTTCCGTTCTTAATTACCCACTATCTCCTATATCAGCGCTAACCATATATATATATCTAAAGTAATGATCACTATCCCGTCTATATCTTGCATATATCTAAAAACAAATCAATTTACTTCTTCTCTATCCATAACAAATTCACATATTCTTAAAATATATTCCGAATTCTTAAAATTAAAATCAGAACTACAAAGATAGTAACAAAATTTTGAATTTATTGCGCTTGCACTGCAAGTTTTAAATTATACATTCCGCCATCTATATTCGCGCTTACCATATATCTTTATAAAATTATTGTTGATAATATTTTCTTTCTATTCCCTCAAACTAAAAATACAGTACCGAAGCCCTAAAATAGTCTCTTAAATACAGGATTGTTCCTGTAGTCATTTCATATATTAAGCAAAATTTATATCTACAAAAAACAATGGCTGCTATAACAAACCTTTACTCCTTTAAGCCTTTCAAAACCCAGTGGAGAGTCCATGTACGGATCTTGAAGGTGTGGAAACAGTATCTGAATGGTGTCGAGACCTTGGAAATGGTGGTTGTAGATGATAGGGTATGTAAATTTACATTCAAACATGCTTCCTGTAAATGCTTTTTATATTATATTCGAACTTTCATGTATTAATTATGTTTTTTATTCTTATGTATGTTGCAGAACCAAACTATGCATGTTTCTCTGAAGAAAGAGTACATCAAAAAACACGAAAACATGTTGGAGGAAGGGTTAAGTAAGATCATTACTAACTTCTAGGTTGCACACAATGGTGGAAAGTTTTGTACGACTCCTCATGTCTACAAGATCCAATTCGCAAGCACAACATCTGTACGACTAGCCGAGGATATTGATCCTAATATTATTGGATTAACATTCGTGAAATTCTCAGACATTCACGACGGCAAACTCAATCCGGCTTTATTAATAGGTATTGAGTTGTAACAACTTTATACTGATGATCATACTAATTATTATAATATGTTTAATTTCAGATGTTGTTGGTCAGATTGTTTGTATTGGGGAGGTCAAAATCCTCAATGTTAACAAGAAGCAGACAAAAAGACTTACCATGGAAATCAGAGACGCTGAGTAAGATCTATGTTTATATACTTTAGATTTCATTAGTACAACCTTATCCTTATATTTTAAACATTTGTAGAAATGTTCGCCTAAACTGTGTGCTATGGGGACCTTATGCTTCAAATCTGGAGAGTTTGGCAACTAATACAACCGAAGCTGTTTTTTGTTGTTGTCTTGCGGTTTTCAAAGCTAAGGCTTTACCAAGGTAACATCCTAAAAGCATATGATATTCAAATGGTTTTCATATACTAACTGTGTTTATAAATCATCCAGGTGTTTGGAGTGTTGGCAATTGTTACAATTGTTCAACCGTTTTAACTAATCCAGAAATCCTTGAGGTTTTCGCGTTCAAAGAAAAGTATTGCAATAAACCCTAAATTCTAAATCGTGTTATATAACATTGCATAAATAATACATTCGTTTCCTTATTAACCTTTATGTAGGCTACCTGCTGATGGTGTTACCTTATCCTACACACATCCAATCAGCTGACAATCGTCAATTCTGTCTCTGTTCGTGATGATTTTTTCTTGCATAGTCTCGAAGGACTATAAGTGAGATAATAGCTGCATCTGAGGTTAAATACTATAGAATTGTTTGTAATTGTTTTTTTATCATTTTAAAATATCCTATAATGAAATCTGATATTTTTCCTACCAGGTTGGAAAATGTGTTACGACGGCTACAATCATGTCAATTGACCCCGAGTTTGGTTGGTATTACATGTCCTGTAAAACCTGTTCAAAAAAGGTTATTCCCCATGATATGGATGCAATGAGAGAGAAGTATCCCAACAGACCTTTTATGCCACTTACAAGGTTATGAAGATCGTCACACAAAGTGACCTGGTGAAGGAGTTTTCAGAAATTTCTGTTTCTCAGGTCATGAACATAAGATCATACTATTATGTGTTGAACTTATAACCTATTTCTCTTATTAGTAAAACAATTGGTGTCGTGTCACAGAACACTATTCAAGCTAAACACGAAGAAAACATTGTGACATCTCTCACTACAGAGGTTGGTATTCTTCTATATATCAGATCAATAATCATACTTTTTATAATATATACCGGTTATTTAATTAAATTTCTGTTACTTATAGGCTCCACTCATGATTAAAGATGACTATGATTATGTGAAGACACCATCCTCGAAACGAAAAAGCAATGATAGTGAAGACATCAGAAATGACAGTGGGGATCTTTCTGTAGCTTCAAAGAAAACCAAGAATGATTTCGAAAATGGAGATGATGCGAAACATACTGTGCTGAAGCCGGTCAAAAAAGAAAAATCAGATGGTTGAAGAAGTGTGATAGTTTAATTAATCCTGCTTCCGTTAGTCTACTATTTCGTTTCCTTTGTTTTCCTAATTGAATTTTTCACATTTCATCCTTTCTTTTTATAACTTTCATTTTCATATTTTGATGTTTTTCAATATTATTAATAAAGCAGGTTATTTAAATTTGGCTGTTATTTCTGATGTCTACACACAATTAAAATGTCTACGGTTATTTAAATCTAATTTATATTATTATAACACGATAATACAGTAGTGCAATTAGAATGATTTACATATTTTTTAGTAATATGTTACCATTACCTAATTTGAATACTTCAATAATTATTGATGATGTGATCTCACATTAACACACAACTCTTCAATTTAAATCAAATGTTTAATATAACAAACATTACTGTTATATTCTTATGTCATTTGTCGAAGCACGGATAACTAAAATGAATGTTAATAATAATTTTTATATTTTTAATAATAATAATATTTAGTAATTATGAGTAGAAATGATTCAGAAATTTGTGTTTTCGCGCTTATTGTGATATTTTAAATAAATTGAAGTTGTTATTAACGATATGAAGTTTTTCCAAATATTTTGAATGTTAGTTATGGTAACAGAATTTCAAATTATTCCTAATATCAAGAAACTCCTACTAATGAATTTTTAGATAATTCGGTAAGCAAATATATATAAGGGTTTTATCTCTGATTTGATTGCCTGTATATAGCAACTGGATTACAATTTATGGAGTATTTGATATATTCTAATTGAGAAACATTCCACTATTGTTATATTCTTTCCAATATAAGCTAATATATTTTTATATCTACGTTATAGTAGCTCGAGCAAATAACGAGATATGAGGAAAAGTAGTGTTCTCGACAAAAATTCAGCTACTCACGACCAACGATCATCAAAGAAATCAAAGAAAGATGGAAGTTTGGTTGGTACAAACAAACTACTTTTAGAACATTTATAATAATCATTTGTTGGTGTTTGTATTTGTTGTCAATCGTATGTTACATGCCTAATTACAGATTCCATCAATAACAATGATAACAATTCAGAATCAAGTAAAACAACTCACCAGCCTTTTGTTCGTGGTGCATTTAATACAATACTTAGAGACCTCACGAACTCAAGCAACACGCAAAGGAGTTCTCAGTCGACCATGACACAAAGCTGAATATATCTATTTGAATATTAATAATACTCTTTCAGGGTTTCCGAGTTGCTGCTTCCGTTTACAATGCTGGGCTGTCTTACTTTGGAGAAGTTTTCCAAGAAGGTCGATGGGTTAAACTTTCTCAGTTTCGATTAGTTAACTCTAATTGGAATTCAAGAACCACCAGACATGCGTACCAGATCATACTCACTCAGAGGACAAAGGTTTCAACTATCAGACCTTTGACTGAGGATCCTTTCATTAAGTTTGTTGATTTTGCATCGGTTTACAACAAGCTGTATACTCACTACTATCATATTGGTAAGTATACCTTTTTATTTTAAATTACTAATAAACTCATGAATTTCTTATTGTTGTTTATGGATTCTATATAAGTAGTTTATATTATGTTATGTAGACATGCAATCATTTTTTTTTGTTTTACATACAGATTTGCTTGGTGTTTTGGATAAGGAGATTTGAGACGTTGTTGATGTTGTTCAGTCTGATGGGAAAGCTGTTCCAACCCTTAAATTTCGTATCCGAGATCTTGAGTAAGGATATTTAGTAAGTTAACAAATTTTAATGATTATTTATATGTAGTTAACTAATATTTGTTGTTTACTTGAAGGGATTACAAACTTAACTGTGTCGCTCATGGTGATTTGGCCTATGAAATCAAGGAAAAATGTAAATGCGACTTAATGAAAGGACCATATGCGATATGTGTATTGACTGAATGGGTTGTTAAGAAAAACTTCAGTAAGTCACCATTATATTTTTAATGTTTTTGTAATTTCATATATTATAATCATTTGTCTTGATTCCTGATATTTATATACTTTTTTATATAGATGAAATGACCATACATGCTTATGAAGGAGGAAAGCTTTCCCGTTTCATAGTTTATCCACCACTTGATGAAGTTTTTATACTCAGGAGCAAGTAATAAAATGTTATACTAAATATTAGTCTTTTTCATATAATATTATATATATATATTTATTTATTTCTGTAACTTATGAATTTGTTCAGAATTTGGGATAAGCTAAGGGCATCGGCCAGCAATGCTTCATCTTCAGAGGCAAGGGCTGCGTAGTTTGGGAGCAGTCTGAAATCAGTTTGTCTTTATGTTTTTCCTTTTTATTTCGTTAATCAAAAGGAGTGATGTCCTCCTACTTTCTATAATGTTAAGACTTAAGTTTTATGTTGGCTTTATTCGAACTTACACTATGTTATGTTACTTTCGTCATTATCACTACTCTAACTATATTTCATCTCTATATAATTATTGCATTGTTTGCCTTTAGTTTTAAATATAATAATTATATGGATATCTAAAATATAAAACGGAGGATATACCTTTTTAACTTTGTTTTTGTCATATAAATATATCAGCTAATTAAATATTCTATTGAAGTTTACTACTTCCGATTTAGGGTTAAGATATGAAATGAATTCGATTTATATTATTTGTGTCTTATTTATAATTCTAAGGTAATGTTTCCTATATCATATCATGGAAATATCCGTATTTCAAAACATTATTAACATTTGTCTTTGAATTAAATGTTTATTTACACTATTTAATAATGTTTTGATTTTGTTAAACCACTAACCATACAAAAATAACATGGTTTAGACATTAATATATAGAAATATACCAAATTCTATATTTTGGCTATATAAAGATAACAGCAATTTAGACAAAATTTATAACAGAAAGTATTGCGTATCTTTATTTAAGAATATTACAATCTAAACTACCTTTTCTTATCAAATTCGTCTTCATTTGCAAATCTTATTATAACTACTATAGTTTTTACGTAATTATCAATACTGCCTTATTAGAATACTAAAAGCAATTTTTAAGATTCGGTTAATATATTTTAGATATGTTATATATATATATATCGTGATTTATTCATATCCTTTTTTTTAGGAAACGTCTTTAATCCAGCCCTCGCAAATCCACAATGTCTAATCGATTCCCTATATAATGTATTGCCTTCTCAGTTAAACTTTTTACATCACGCTGATGTGTGCTGTCGTGAGGGTTGTCAAGTTTTACCCTAAATGAAATCAATAGCCGCAAGTGCACAGCTGATCGATTGTAGTACTTAGGGATCGAATCCACAGGGAAGGAGGATCTTTTCCTGCAAAAAGTCTTTGAAATAAGTATTAAGTAAGGAAGTCTAAAACCAAATCGGTTTTGTGGGGGTTTGGTAGTGTGTTTAAAATGTATAACCAAAATCTTAAAAGAAAATACGGGAATTAAATGACCTAATAACTAAACTTAACGGAAATGAATAAAAAAGAGAAAAACGGATATTCTAATTGCTTAAATGAAAATCTACTAAAAAGGAAAGACAATATTGAACTAAAGCTTGAAAGAAAATCGGTGTAAATCAATGGGAAAGAAAGCGTTGGGCTTCAGGGAAGTTTTCTCAGGATTATGAACGATTCAAAACATTGCTAGAGAGTAAATTGATAAGATCTTAGCTTAAACTTTTCGAACTGGAGTCACAGACATATGAATACGCCACTGTCGTGATCATAGACAACTATCTCTCTCAACCCTGATCAGTAGGTTTCCACTCTGGCGCTGGAAGAGAAGAGATGCATTATGTTTAAGACTCGTCCTAATTCAAAAATCGCCCATAGGTAGGTTTCCACTCCTATGTTTGTTTTGCTCTCCCAAACTAGATCTGATACCTGATGAACACTTTCGTGTCACCAAGCATCTGGATCAGATTGTAGTTCATGACGCTACTCTCATGCAGTAAAAACGAATTCAGAAGAAAAAGTTCTAAGATTCGGCTCAAAAGCTCATGGAATCCTCATCGAACATATAAATCCCCATCGAAAATCCCTTAATCCCAACAATAAAACTACTCAGACATAATGAACGAAATCAAAGACATAATATTAAGAAGTAGAATAGAAACCGAAATTGAAAAAGAAAGAACAAGGGTTCAAGAGAACAAATCTCTCTCTCCCTAAAAGCTATAGCAAATACAATAAAAGTATGAAGTAAATAATTCGGTTCTCTTGTCTCAGATTATCGATTAGGGTTCCTAAAACATGTATTTATAGTGCTCAAGACCTCTCTGGACGT